CCCAAACCACCATTGAGATTGACTCTTTGTATGAGGGTATTGATTTCTACTCTACCATTACCCGTGCCAGATTTGAAGAACTGAATATGGATCTCTTCAGGAAGTGTATGGAACCAGTTGAGAAGTGTTTGAGGGATGCCAAGATGGACAAGAGCACTATCCATGACGTTGTTCTTGTTGGTGGTTCAACTAGGATCCCCAAGGTTCAACAGCTTTTGCAGGACTTCTTTAATGGGAAGGAGCTCTGCAAAAGCATTAACCCTGATGAGGCTGTTGCCTATGGTGCTGCAGTCCAAGCTGCTATCTTGAGTGGGGAGGGTAACGAGAAGGTGCAGGATCTTCTGCTTTTGGATGTTACTCCTTTGTCTCTTGGTTTGGAAACTGCTGGTGGTGTCATGACTGTTTTGATTCCTAGGAACACAACCATTCCCACCAAGAAGGAGCAAGTCTTCTCAACCTACTCTGATAACCAGCCTGGTGTGTTGATCCAGGTTTATGAGGGTGAAAGAACAAGGACCAGGGATAACAACTTGCTTGGTAAATTTGAGTTGTCTGGCATCCCGCCTGCCCCCAGGGGTGTTCCACAGATTACAGTGTGCTTCGACATTGATGCCAATGGTATTTTAAATGTGTCTGCTGAGGACAAGACTACTGGCCAAAAAAATAAAATCACCATTACGAATGACAAGGGAAGACTCTCTAAGGACGAAATTGAGAAGATGGTTCAGGAGGCAGAGAAATACAAGTCAGAGGATGAGGAGCACAAGAAGAAGGTCGAGGCAAAGAACGCATTGGAGAACTACGCATACAACATGAGAAACACTGTGAAGGATGAGAAGATTGGAGCCAAGCTTCCTCCAGCTGATAAGAAGAAGATTGAGGATGCAATTGAGCAAACCATCCAATGGCTTGACAGCAACCAGCTTGCGGAGGCTGATGAATTTGAAGACAAGATGAAGGAGCTGGAGAGTATCTGCAACCCCATAATTGCCAAGATGTACCAAGGCGCTGGTCCTGACATGGGTGGTGGTATGGATGATGATGCTCCCGCTGGTGGAAGCGGTGCTGGCCCAAAGATTGAGGAAGTAGATTAAGGCGGTGGTTCCATATGATTTTTTCGTTGCTATTCCAATTATCTTAAGTTCTGTTAAATGCTTTCTTATGGATTTTGTCAGTTGGACTCTAGTAGTGGTTATAATCTGATCTGAGATTGCTCTAAATTCAATGTCCAAGTGTTTTTAAAGTATCTGTTGGATCATCCATTTTACAGTTTTCCAAAATATCTTATTTTCTTAAAATAATAAGAAAAAACTTAAAATTAAAATGTCTTTCTTACTTCAAATTTTTAGACTTTTTCAGCACTACAAATATGAAGGTTTTGCACAAATTTATTTGAATATTTTAATTTATTGAGTTAGATTGCTGTTAGGGGTCGATTCAATTTGATTAATTTGATTTAAATTGTTCTAATGCAATATAAAATTGAACCAAATCGATATCAAATTAGGTTTGTTTAAATTATAAAATTTTAAAATTAGTATAAAATTAGGTTTGTTTGAATTATAAAATTTTAAAATTGATATAATCAGTTTTATTTGTAATTTTACTTTTACTTTTAAATTGCCCAAATCATCTAATTACAAAATAAAATCTGATTACACAATAATTTAATTAAATAATGTAATATTTTTTTGTAATATTTAAAAATTTTTTTATTTTATAAAATGATAACTTTGTTAACTTAATTTAAAAATAAAAATTGAATATCTCTATATTCTTTAATTTATTTTTCTTTTTAAATGGTGTACTCTAACTCTAAGAACCTGTTTGATATAACGGTTTTAAGTTAACGGTTAGCATTTTTACCTAAACCGCTAAATATAAGTGTTTGGTAAATTTATATATTTCGAAATCGTTACAAAAAAAGTGTTTTGGTAAAATTTTTATTTACCGAGTTGAAACTAGCAGATAACGATTAAGTTTCAAACCACTAACGGATTGAAAAAGTTAGTTTATATAACTTTTTAGACTAAACCGCTAGCAAATTAAAATTTTTTAATTTTATTGACAAATTTATCCATTTTAATTTTTTAATTTGTGGTCAC